TGTTCTCATGATCTGCTCACCAGATGATTGGAGGACTTGTGAAGATGTTGGTTGTGTGATACTGATGTTCAGCTGTGAGATGTTTGGAGACACATCTTCTGTAGATGTTTCCTCTGTCATGGCCTCCAGCTCCTTCTCTGCTCCTCAGCCGCTGCCTCGTCTCCTGCTTCCTTTTCCCTGTCGCTGCTTGTGGGTGGAGTACCTCAGGCCGGACCGTGGAGCAGCATACCTGGACCTGTCGTAGCCACGGGTCATCAGTACCGGCCTGGACCTGGTTCTCCTGGTTCAGCCCCCTCTGAGCCAGGCTGCCAGCTAGGTTGTGAAGTTTTCAGTCTTAGAATAGAGTGTGCAGCTGAATCTGCTCTCAACAATCTGTTCTTGTTCTGTTTCTCAGCGATCAGTTTTTGCTTCCATGCACAAGCATTTGTTGCTGTTCTGTTCGTGCAGGTCGCTGTGTCAGAACCTCTAGTCTCATGTACGACACCGCGCGGTTCTGTCTGCTTCTGGTGCTGTGTGCACGTGTATCCGTGAATTATTCCTGACCTGTAGCTCTTCTAGGTCAGTCGTGTCCAGTTCAGCTTAGTTTTCCCCTCCTAAGCCTAAGCCTAACCCTAAACCTAAGCCGAAGCCTAAGCCTAAGCCTAAGCCTAAGCCTAACCCGAAGCCTAAGCCTAGTGTAGTCCAGTCTGTCTGTGTTTCATAGTTTTGTGTACATCAGTCTCTTGGTCTGACCTCCGTGGTTGTAAACCTCTTGGTGGTGGTTCTGTGGTCCAGTCACCACCACTCTGCGCCCCAGTCTTCTGGGTCGGTTTCTCTTTCCTCTGACTCCCTCATCAGATCCCTCAAGACGCCTCCATCATTTAACTGTGTACTAAAATCCTTTGATTACATTTCTGGTGCGTCTCTGACTCCTTCGGGGGATTCCTCTGCTCAGGGTGTCAAACAGCCTTTGGCTTTTCAGAGTTACACAACGTGACCTTTGGCGTTAGCGCCACCTACATCCATGTCTGATGCCAACACATGTGTCGGGTCCGTCCAGGTAGAAGAGCAGCATGAAGAGGCTGGAGGCTGGTGCTGCTGCAAGTCACCAGGCTTTGACCCAGAAGCTTGTGGTTGAACTATTCTTAAAGTTTGTGTTGTTTTTTCTTCTCACCGTCATCAAAATGCTGCTCCAGCGCCTTGTGTGGGTTCGCTGGGTTTCACTGATGCTGAAGCATCTTGACCTCGCTCTGTAAAGAGTTCTGAGTTGTGTTGTGAGTTTGTTCTGTTTAAATAAAACTGAATTATATCTGTAAAGCAGAGACCATTTGACCACAGATCCATGGCATCTTTTTCAGAGGTCCAGAACATTTTATGGGTCATTAAAGATGTTGTGAGTTGGTGCTGTATAAATAAAACTGGGCTGAACTGATGGCACCAGCAGAAACCATTCAGCTACAGACTCACAACGTCTATTTCAGAGGTTCAGAAAACACTATAGGTCTGTGTGTCTGTGAAGATCCTCAGTCCTCCAGGTCAGCGTTCCTCTGGTAGACTAATGGTAGCAGCTGGACCTGCTTGAGCTCCTTGAAGACGTTCCACCTTCATCCAAGAGGCTTCATCAGCTCTGACTGACTGGTTGGGAGTTCCACATCCTGATATCCTGAAGGAGACACTAACACCTGAGTTTGGGTTTCAGTTCTCGGTCCATCAGACTCCTGCATGTTGCAGTCAAAGGTAACCAGATGTGAACCTGACCAACAGCTGTATGTATGTGGCGTGTTCGGAAGAAGACAAGTCTCTCATTTCTAGTTAATTTAAAGTCCTTTAATGATTCACATGATGCCCAGAACCCTGGACAAGACAGGCAAAGGAATCAGTAGAAGTATTCATGTTAGTCTATAGTTACTGTATTGAACGATGGAGATGGACACATGGATCAGGATTAGCACTGGCATCTCCAAGTCAGAGAGGTTACAATCAGATGTGGTACCAGATGGGATAGCTCATAGCAAGGTTTCACTCTCATCACTTCCATCCATTATTAACAGTTTACTACCAGAAATAATTATTATTTCAAACATCAATCATCGATTCTCAGAAAACTAACACTGGTTGCTGTTTCTGAGCCCTCACTGTCTGAACTAGTCTACAGGGCTCTGGGACGCTGTGTGCTCACATCGCTACGTCATTATAACACCTCTACATTCACACACACACACACAACGGTGCTTCTTTCCATTTAATGGAGACGCTGTTCAGGTAACAGTACATAGGGAACCGTTAGAAGACAGTAGGAGAGTGCAAAGTGTCTATAGCACTGCACACTGTGTCTACATTACATATGCTTTTCCCACCAAATCACACCGGTTCAGCTAGAACACAAAGATAATCAGTGGATACTGACAGGATGACTTGATTCACTCGACAGCATCTCCTCACTGTTTCTGTACATGTGATAGGCAGAAGGACCAGTGGTATCTCTACAGTATGTACACAGGTTTCAGTCTTCATCATACACGACTGTACTGTTGGTCTTCTCTACTTCTGCACAGCCGTTTCCATTCACATTGCAGTTCACATATATATGCAACAGAAGGATCATAAAAGCTGCACCATGAACGACAGTAAACTGAGATCTCAGACAAAGGCGAAGCAACGTAGAGACTGTGAATGCTCAGATAGCACTTTGATGCTGCCAACACCGTCCCTGTATGGGTAGTCATGTGTGACTTACTAAACCCTGTCCAGGACTTTCATGTTTCCAGACATAGAAGGTCCTTCTGGGTCCATCTGGGTCCCCAAGAAAGAATATGTGCAAAATATCTGTTGTTATTCGTTATAGACTTTATATGATGTTAAATAAATGATCTGATAAATTGACATATTTTTGGTTCCAATGAATGACACACGTCCTTCTTTTTATATTTAGAATAAATCTTCAAAAACAAAACAGCACCTGTCACCTACAGCACATGGCCTGGGCTCCAACATGCTGTAGAACATACAGGTGCAGTGTTATAAAACAGACCATGTGTTTCTGAAGGTCCTGACCATGTGTTGAGCAGTCAGTCTGCCTTATTAGTCACTAGACCCAGAAGATCCTGGTTTGGTTGAGCAGGAAGCAGCTTCGGTGAGGTTGTGAGCAAACATCAGGGTGGAGACACAGCTGGTCAAGCCAACACGTTAAATACACATCCTCTGATGACCACCTGGACACTTATGGCATCACTCCAGGATGTTCCAGGAGATTCTCTACCCTGCTGAATGTTCTGAAGGCCGAGGAACTGTTAGGATGGAGCCAAACGTTCCTGATTCATTCAGAATGCTAGTGGATGTCATTTTTTTAAATTGCCAATGCAAACCAGTTTATTTTGTGTTTGTTTGCTCATTATGAATCATTGACTGAAACAACATGAAGCTACAGAAGAACCCAGTGATAGATGTGTGAAGGTCAGGCCTGGTTTTCACACAGAGGGAGACATCCTGAGGAGGTGGACGTCATCATGTACTGCTGCATGCAAAAATGAAAAAGTACAACCACTGCTTTGAAACGTCTGACTCTAAACTGGCCTGCCCAACCTCTGCTCCACTTTCATTAAAGATCTGTACATTATTTAGTACATATAGATTTTGCTAAACCGCTTTATTTCTGAAGAGACTCATCTGGCCCTGAAGCATCAGGGATTAGCTCCAGTGACCCTCCACGGTCTTAGGAGGTACAGCAAACAGATGGATCTGCTGCATACAGTACAGAGATCATGTGTGCTGGTTGACAGCACACCAGGTAACATCTCACTAGCTGTCTAGTCGCTGCACACAGTTCATGGGCAAAAAGAAATAAGTGCACATGTAGATGTTGTGTAGCATCAGTGCACCATTAAAACTGCTGAAAAACCGCTAAAGCGTTCAAGTTTTGTCTAAAGTCACTGGACTGACTTGTAGCGAGAACGCTAACTGCCCCTAAAACCACAAAAAGCTAAATAGCGTTTCCACCTGCTAACCTGTAGCAGGAGTGCAGTTAACATAAATCACATCAAATGAATCGTCTGCCCTGACTCTCAGGAGGTGCATGCTTCATTCACACCATGGCTGCTGGACAGAAACCTTCCAGCACACTGCCAGGTACATCATTGCTTTAATTCAACAATTTGCATTATATTCACTACGTCTGTTCGACCTGACATGGTGTCTGAGCTGCAGGGAATCCTCCTGCTTGCTTTCCAGCAGTTTCTGTTTGCAGTCCGACAACACAACAATCAGCCGGACCGCCGTCGATACAGACGTATGAATGATCAGGGCTGAACCTGACTGAGCTCCTTTTTGAATTCGAAACAGATTTATGGACTCTTCCTTGGATTTATAGATCTTCTTTAACGGGAGGGGCAAGTTAAGTTCAAGGCCTCTGAAAAGAAGAAGCATGATGTTTGCTGATAAACTGTGACTAATGTGAGGGGACAGAAGCAGGAGAGGCTGAATATGTCTGCAAAAAATCTCATGTTTTTATTTACAGTCTTTGTTCACTTTGTGGTGTTTGGACACGAGGACCCTCTGTCACATTATATTCACACTAAACCTATCATAGCCAGAGCTGTGCTAATGGCTGCTGATTAGTGCCAGTAAAACCTGCCTATACGTGCACTATTCCCAACAGCCCAACAGTAAGTCCACTGAAAGGCTTATTGGGAGAGCTGCACACACCAGGTGTGGCTCAGGTGCACGGCATCACTTTTAGAAGGGAAACACTGCAGACTGAACACTGATGTAGGTTTGACAGACTCACAACTTTACATGGAGCACTTTTTAAAATTATGTCCAATTTATGTTCAAAGTCAATTTTACTTTAATTCATTGTGAATGTAGCTAAATGTAGAAAAGCAATTCATGTACAGGTTTGTAATTGTTTTGTGACAAAAGATTAAAAAGAGTACATCTTCAAATGTTTAATTTGTAGAAAGAAAATGTGCAGGACAGGCCGACCAGGCTGGTAGCAGCAGAGAGCGATGGCGTGGGACTGCTGTCTAGTCGGCGTAGATGATGAACCCAGAGAAGGTGCTGTACTTGTTGTTGTTGCCTCCGTGAGCTTTGCCTCCGTCTAGTTTAATGTAGACCTCGTCTCCTGGCTCCAGGTGCAGGACAGCGCTGTTACTGGCATAGTCATAGTTCTGGTCTGCATCCTGGGCTATGGCGCTAGCTCGCACCTGCAGAAATACACACACACACACACACACACACTCTGAGTACATTACTGTGACAGATTATGAGTTCCTAAAGCTGACTGCAAAGCATCCTAGATGTTAGGATGTAATGGGATACCTGCTGGGGATTTGCATGTTGTCTCAGTATGAATGCAGAACACACACACACACACACACACACACACACAGGACAACACTGATGTCTGCAGCATGAATCATACAACATACATGTCATGTAGAGACTCAGGCTGGAGCCTAGCGGCAGGTCGTCACACCAGTGGCTCACAAGGAGGCTGCTGCAAGATTTATTGACTAACTCATGAATGATATTGTGCACAGACAGCTGAACTGACTGGTGCATCTGTTCCTTTGTGATGTAAAATGAGTCCTGAAGGTATACTGAGAGATATTTAGAGTTATGAAATGCAGGGCTTTTTGGCATGGCAGGGGGATGCTGGGAGATGCCAGGTGACCAACACAGACATCACAACTCAGAGTCAGAGACAACAGCGTGGCTTTGTAGGAAACCTGTTCTGTGAGTGTTTCAGCCCAGTCAGCCAGATGCTGTAAGGCGACTGTTTAGCAGCAAAAACTGGAGATAAAAGTATTTTCCTAAACATTTGTTGAACAAGCTGCTGTCACTGTGGATGATGGATGTGCTCTGTGAAAGACAACATCTTCCTGAAATACTTTATTCAACCATTTAGGAACCTACAAATTACAGTTAGGGAAAGGTCATAGTGCCGGTAAGATGTAAAAAATTCAATCTCCAGCAAAGCTCTTGTTGCCACGTGTCAGACAGAGATTCACTTTATGTCTCCAGCAGCACAGTGATTATAGAGAAACACGAGCTAGCAGAGGATGAGCACCTGTAAACGATTAGTTAACACTCATCTATATGAGTTTCACTTATTTTATTTATTTCTGGCAGCTGCAGTGTAGAAAGAGACACGAGTGACGAGACACATAACGCAGGTTCCTGTCCAGATTCATGGATGCTGTGGTCGTTCCTAAGCCATGACAGCATTGGGCCTCTACCTTCACCCTAACTGTGAGCAGCACCATCTAGCTCAGTCCCAGCTGCCTCCATGCTGCAGACGCTGCAGCTTTCAGGTTTATTCAGACGGAGCAGGTCACATGAAGCTCATTGGACCAAACTGTAAGTCCTCCCGGTGAGAAGATCCTCCAGCAAGTCAACAGTTTGTGATCTCCACCTGTCAAAAACAGCTCTGAGTTGTGCTGAAGGTTCAAGATTATAAAGAGATCATTCCTCCCCAATATTCTGGTCCAGCTCATGGATTATGTAGAACTCTACATTCGAGTGTGTCACAACTCAGTTAAATAAGATCAGAGTGCAGCCACAACGTCCTTCAGGAAAGCGTTTACGACCTTCTATAGCAAATACACAAATGTGCTGTCAGTGACAGTTATTTAAATGGCAGCTCAACAGTGTAGTGGAGCCCTGTGATAGACTGGCTACCTGTCCAGGTGAACCTGAGTCAGGAAGGGGCTGGAGTCTATCCCAGTTGAGATATATATATATAGGTGTGTGTGTGTGTGTGTGTGTGTGTGTGTGTGTGTACTTTTTTCCTCAGAAGACATCAATAGATCTATGATAGCACTAAAATGCATGGTTCTTTTTTGTGACAAAGACA